TGGGTCCGTGGAAAACTGTGCATAACTTCCGGAAGACCGTCCTTCTAAGCCGTTTTACGGGAAAAGATTTCATGTGGAAGTCAGGGCCCTCTTCCTTCCGTTTGCTGTCATCCATGTTCACTGCGAAGCACTTCCGTTGCTCAGGGGGACCCAGTTTATTCCCTGGTTCTGGGTAGTTCTTCCCGTCCCCACTGACAACGCCAGACAGAGGGCAGGCAGTGCTGCGCCGGTACCTCCGGCGCCAATAACACTGAGAGAGGCATCAAACTCGCTGCTTCCTGGTCTGTCCGAGGGAGGATCTGGTTCAGCATGTTGGCGGCTACGGCCTCAGGTCCGGAAGGAGAGAACAGATTTGGCAGGCCCAGGAGCTGGGACTCTCTGCCTGTAACTCTTTACAGGGTTGGAGAACCCTGTCTTTCTCCATGGTATCAACGAAAAGTTCAAGGTGGGAAATAATTCGGTCATGAAGGAACTTTGTGGTAAAAAGGAAACCAACGAAGGACCTGTTAGGGAGCTAGAGGCAGAAACCAGGGGTTGTCTCTCTACATGCCAAGGCCTCCCTTTCCCCCCCTTACAGGAAGTTGGAAGCCAATAAAGGCTAGAGGGCTTGCAAATTCAGGCCCTTGAGCCAGGGAGCCAGTACACCTGGGTGGGCCCCAATCAAGGCCAGGTGGCCTTCATTCAGCCAATGGGGTCAACCAGTATCCTCGACCACACCTCCCAGGGGGAGGGCCCTAAGCAGCCACAACCGGGAGCCCATGCCCTCTTGTCCACCTGCTCCTTAGCCCTGCTGCTGTTTCTCTGGCCTCAGGGGGCCTGGGTAAAACCTGAAACTTCTTCTGTCCTTTATAAAACTCACTTGGATCACACAGGCCCGAGAGGACTCTAACGACTGATAGATGGTAAAGCACTCTGAGTCTAGCACCAGTGACTCAGACCCTGAGGCGCAAGGGGGAGGGAACCGTCACTTGCTGTCGGTGCCACAACTACAGAAGGAAACACCCCCCCGCTCCGCACCACCCTGGACTTGAGGCCATTATTGCAGCCGCTGGGTCAGTTTTTCTCTTGGAGGGTCCTCCTCTTTGTTGCTGCCCTTCCACTTTACCAAGCATGATGCCCTTCTCCAGGGACGAGTCTCTCCTGGGAACTTGCCCAAAGTAGGTGAGGTGAAGTCTCCCGATCCTTGCCTCCAAGGAGCATTCTGGCATGCTCTTGCAAGCCAGACTGGTTTGTCCTCTTGGCTGTCCATGGTATTTCCAATATCC